GGTAGGTAACAAGTTGACCATAAATCAGCAGGACTCACTGAATTAAAAATAAGCACGGATATATTACAAGGTTAAATAAAACCACTATAGCAATAAATACTCATAGGATTCATTTCTTTTTTTACCCAGATGTCATCAGATAATTTTAAATTTTGCCCTGGCTGTGATGCCTACCAAAAGAAAATTTTAGCTAATCTAGTTCAAATGAAAGTTAAATACTTAATTGGTAAGATTATAGAAAGCTAAGAGAATTTAGAGAAATAGTGTACTTATTTTTTCCAGGAGGTTGTATTCTGAATTGGAGTTTTTATGCTATGTCATTCTCATGATGCCAGAATTGTTAGAGTTGTGATTCATTACAGCTATGAGTATTACCTTCAGAAATTATGATTTTTCTTCTCTGATGTCTGTAAAATGGTCTTATGGAATGTTTGAAATGGCAAGATAGTTGTTACAGACAGGAGGACAGTTTAGTTTTAAACAGATAAGGTATTACTTAAAATGCTGAAAGCTTCAGCGGCCCTTTAAATATCCTTCTTAGTATTGCTCATATTGAGTGAAATATAGCAAAAATGTTTCTGTGTCTTCTGTTCACAGTAAGAAATAAATATATTTTACATTTTTACCCAATACACATGTGTATGGAAAAAACTCAAATTTCATGAAGCAATACTGAAACTTACCTTAAGCAATGTACTGTCTATACTAATCCATTCCATTCCTTTTCATTCCATTTCAGCTTTTAATAAGTGCTTTTTTCTTATTTTTTTCTAAGATGATTTCATAACCCACAAGTAGGTTGATACTTGCAATTTGAAAAAAGAAAAACTAGGCTATAGGTTTAAGATTCTCTTTCTACCGTGTTAATTTTAGTTTGGACACCATTCTTTATTTGATTTCACCACCAAATGTCCTAATTGGTACTGTCGTTAACAGTTAGTACCTTTATCACAGATCACAGAACACTAGAACTAACCCTAGATAGGGATTATATCACTCTCCTGCCTCTGGTGTATGTGTGTGTGTGTTTAAGTTTTGCTATAGAAACTTTAAGGCATATTCCAAAGTAGAATATTATAATGAGCCTCATATATTCATTACTTCGTTTTCATGGGTTATTTTGAAGTAAATTGCAGATATATCATTTTTATTTGTAAAAACTGTAGTGTGCATCTTTAAAAGATAGAGAATCTTTTAAAGAAAAACACCCAAATTTCTTTATCACACTAATAAATAACGGTAATTCCTACTGTCATCAAATATCCTGTCAGTATTCACATTTCTCTGTGTCATAATTTTTTAAAAACTGGTTTGAATTAGGAACCAAAGTCTATGCATTATATTTGGTTGATACATCCCTTTTATCTCTTTTCATCTATAGATGTTTGTGTGTGTGTGTGTTTATGTATGTGATTGTGTGTATTTTATTGTTGAAGAACTCAGGTTGTGTAGAAGTACCCTATTCTGCTCATTTAACATATTCCTCTGTCCATGATATCTCCAGTAAACTGGTAGCGATGTTAGGAGGCTTGATTAAGTTTTGGGATATTGACAACAATGCTGCAAAAGTGTTTTGAATTTCCTATTGTGTGACATCAGGACGCACATAATGTTTGGTTGTCTTGCCTTTTTGTGATGTCAGGATTGATCTCCATCTTGTCGTCTGATGTTTCCATTATGAAAGTTCCCATCAGCTTTCTACCTAATGGATTATTCACTGATGAACTTTGGGTTGATCCATTACTCTATTTCAAAATGGTAATATTTTAACTCTACTCCTTTTGTATATATTAGCTGAAAATTTCTATAAAGAAGGACTTTACCTTAGTTAACTGATTTTTCCTATGACTATTTGGTCATAAGGAAAGACAGGATAAATGTGATTTATTTTCCCCTTTTATCGTCAGATTTTTAGAATAACAGTTCTTTAGGCTCCTCCAAAGGTGACTTGTGAGTTTTTGGTTTTAATTTTTCTTTTGTTTATTATCTTGAACTGATGGATTTAAACCTATTTGATATACTTCACATCATTGAAGTTATTATTCTGTTTGATGCTCAGATTGTTTCATCTTTGGCCGATATGGGGGGCTTTCAAAATGGCTCTAGAGACCTTCTGACAGGATCCCGGGAGTCTTTGATTTCCAAGCCCCTCTAGTACATTTTGTGCCCCTGACCTAGAATCAGCTATATCTCCAAGGATCAGCCAGACTTTTAAGCTCTCAGATAAAGGAATTAAGTGACTTGATGGAAAGATGCTTGTTGGAAGACTAGTTTTGGGGTGAGTGCCCTTTTCACTGTCTACTGCTGCTCGCTGCCTTGCCAGCAGCCCTTCCCTTTTTCCTTCTGTAGATTGCGCTTTCCACATAGGCATAGGTTGGTAATGCCATGTACTCGCTGCCCCAGCTTCCTGTGCTGCTTCGCATTAGCCTTGTGTCCCGATTTGGACAATGAGATCTAAGGGGAAGGATGCTGGGAACTTACTCAGAATTGGTTTGTAATTTTACTTTAAAAATGGGTATTTTGCCTTTGAAATTTTTAAAATATTATATTTAATTTTTAAAATACTGTTCAAGACCGCCTTTTGTTTTCCACATGGTGTGGATGATGAAAAACAATGGGTAGTTTATAAATCATCTCAGTCTCCATTTGGGGTCTTAAAGGTTCTTAGCAGATACAGATTTATCTCCCTAACTATGTTTTGTTCTGGGCAATATCTAATATTATCATAACTAATAATAATGCTTATTTTGTACCAGGAAGTAGTCTAAGGGCTTTCTGTATTAACTTACTCCTCAAAATGACCCCAGTATTATTATCCTCAGACTATAGGGTAGGAAACTGAGGTAAAGAGACTTCATGTGATTTATCTAAGATCACACTAGTAAGTGGGGGAGCCAGGATTCCCACCCAGACACTCAGGTTCCAGACTATATTAAGATTGGTTTCCATTTTCAGAATACCAGTTTACTAAGAGCAGATGGAGTTGGGCTAGAAATGTATTTAGAAGTGCATTAATAATATATGTGGTCTTTCATTAGCATATATTGTGGCTTCTGTTTAAAATTAGTATGTTTAGTTTGGGTTACTCCAATCAGATATGGGACCTTTTCTTAGAGGCCTAAAATTATACATAGCTCATCAACATATTGATTTGATTTTCCATATTAAAAAACTTGTCTGGGAAATAAAACCCAGTGGCATCATATGAGGCAATTTAGATCATGCTCATAATACAGATGAGAGTGTTGCAAACTATTTCTTAGCAACTGAATTTTAAAGTTGTGACAAGCTCACGTGTAAAAGAAGCTAATAATAATTTATATTGTCAATACATAGTCTCTGTTTGTGAAGATACATAATTTTAACCATATTAATCACTAGGCATATTGCTGAGAAATATAGTGGTGAAATGGATATGCAAACATGCCAGACAATTTTCCTTAATTCACAATGATACAGTCAGGCTTATTACCCAGGTCACCTTGTTCTTATGTACCCCTGTCTTCTAGGTCTCACAAATATATATTAGTTCTAGAAAGATAGCATGTCTATTTCTACAAACCCTTAGTTTAAAAATTTTAAACATACTCTACTATTTTTCTTAGAAGTTAGCATTAAAATACTATTTGCGACACTCATTTAAAATTGTTTACTATTATTTCAAAGAAAACAAAATAAGGACAATTATTTATTTTTGGTTTTGTGTATAATAGTAACTAGTTAGGCAGAACTGCAATGGAGAAGTACTCTGATCCAGTAGAAAGTATTCTAGGAGAGTTGAGATTTGGATACCAGACTCAACTGTGTGATATTGAGCAGTTTTTGAAAGGTTTTCTGCTCTTCTGCTTCCTCATATGTGAAACAAGAGGCTCGGTAAGGCCAGGGTTGTGTAGGCATTATGCTATTGGTACAGCTCAGACTTCTGCCACAGCCCAGGTGGCAAAGCATTGGGTGCAGGTGGTCATTGTGGTCGATTAGAATCGATCCAAAGACGAAATCAACATATGGGATTAAATGTAAAGTAAGGTGGTTCCTCCCTCCCACCCCTTTCTAAAATCATCCCTTAGAAAGTATAATTATATTAGTATTTTTACAAAGTCTCTATGAGGCACTCCATTTTGAACAGTAAACTACTGTTCAGAAAGACACAGCCTGAAAACTCAATTAACGGTAGTTTTGCATGCATGTGGAAGCCCGGGTGGACTCTGTAAAAAAGGAGACAATTTCACACTGGTTTGGTGATTATTTCTGGGGCATGGCTTCATAGTTAGAATTGTTGGGTGTTGTGAATGAGTTTTTCGAAGACAACTTCAAAAGGAAGTGTGCTAAATGCTTCTCAAATTATCTACGGTCAAGGACCAGTTTTGCTTTTAAAAAATATCCTATTTGTTGCCAACTGATACTTTTGTAAAAGGCAATAAAAAAAATGAATTGTTAGAAAAATGTTTTTAAAATGACCAACAGAATAGAAACCAAAATTCAATAGACAAAACTATATTGCCTAAATGCTATGCAAGTTTCTAAAACAGTCTCTTAATTTTTACAAATAGTGTGACATTGGCCACAAACCAAACTTTGAGTGGCACTGCTGGTTATATTGTAGGAGTCACAAGTATACATACACAGGATGGATGAAAAAATAATGTTTCCTAGTGTTGTAAAAATTGTGGCATGGAGTGAGAATGGCTGTTTGTCATGCCTTAGTTCAGAGGTTGGTACGCTGTGGCCCAGTGGCTATCTGCTCTGTAAAAGTTTTACTGGAACACAGCTATACCTACTCATCTGTGTATTGCCTGCAACAGGCTTGGGTAGTTTTGACTGAGACCATATGTATACAAAGCCTAAAGTATTTACTATGAGGTCCTCTGCAGAAGAGTTTGCCAACTCCTGCTTTAGATTTGAATGCTGCTACTTATATAGTGCCTGTTTCCTTTTTTTCTGACTGTATTATCTTTGTTTTAATACATTAGATATATTATTGTTTGACTTTTATCTTCTAGTCACTGATGTACCTCAAATAAATTTGGAGAAGAGTGAAGAAAATGAATGTGAAGATCAAATAAGGAAGAAGAAAAAAAAGAACAAAGACTATCAACCGAACTATTTCCTATCCATTCCGATCACCAACAAAGAGGTGCTATATTTTTAAAAATGATTTTTACTGTAAAGTTCTGAATTATATTTAAAGTGCACTAAATACTTACTTGTAAGCCCATTTGTTCTCAGCTTGTAAGAGTCTTTGGTGACATTTTATCTGGGCCACACAGGGAATAATTCTATTTATATATTTTAAGAATAATTTTGAAAAATATTATTCAAACAATCCATATTTAAACAATTTTGCAAAAGCCACTTGAAAAAGTATTGCCAGATGGCATGTGAGGGTCCTTTCTAAGCATTTGTTCACCACAACAGAGGAAATGTTCGGAAGCTGAGAGCAGTGACCAGGTAGAGCAAGGGTTTCAAACCCTTGCTGGGAAAGTCAGCCAGGATTTCTCGCTGCTTAGTCCTGTGTATGGTAATGGTGATGGTGATTGCAACATAATTTCTTTAAAAATTACTCATTGTCATATCAACTTAATATTACATGACAGACTTGGTAGAAATCTATTAAAAATCTGAAAAATTAATGTAGCATGAATAATAGGAGGTCAGATCAGCCAATTAGCCTACATGTAGCTGAGAAAGAAAACTACAGTAACTAATTAAAACTGCTAGAGCAGTGAGGTAGGAATTGAAATGCCGTACAAAAGAACGCCTCACTTGGAAGACTGACTGCTTTTCCATTTGGCCCAGTTTAAGAGCCAGAACTGAATTTCTGTTTGATTGTGGGTTATATATATTATTGTTTGACTAGGCACATTTTCAGATTGCTTCTCTTATTTAACTAAAATGTTTCTAGGGAATGCTGATGAATTAAAAAAAAATAAACAAAATCGAAATCAACGAAATAACTATCAAAAGAAAAAAATTCTGCAATATATCTAGTCTTTGAGATAAGGTTTAGCAGGGAGAGAAGACAAATAGAGATAATTTGTATTCCTAACAATAGAAGATTTTAGAGTCATATTCTGAGTTTACTGGTGCATACTGGTGGGTTAACAATAAAATCATTCTTAAAAGTGTTTAATTTGGTGTAACCAGCAATTATATATTCTTTTAAAATACTTATGAGTTATTTGGAAAGGTTTTCTTTGAACTAAAGGATCATGTGTCCATGTGGGAATTAGAAGAAAGTAGGAAGTCAAAGGTAGTGCTGCTTAATGGAGCCGTCAGAGCCGGGCTCTCAGGAAACTGAAATAGAAGTGACTTCCCCAAGGACGTGTGCTTTATGATTAGAAGAGACTCCAGTTTCCTCATTCTGATTTGTTGCTTACAGAGTGTTCCACTGCAGAGTCAATCAGCATAAAAGTTGTTAAAAAAACTTCTATAAATGACTTTCTCTAGGCCCTTCTTTTTATCTTTTCTTCACCCCTCTACTCTTGACTTCCACGGTGGTCTGGACAGCAGCTGTGCGTCACCCTTCACGCCCCCCACCCCCGAGGCCCCCAGCCTGGTGCTGGTTTCTCACCTCTGCCAGTCAAGATTGGTGGGCGATGTGGAGAGGAAAGGCAGGTAGGGAAGGGAGCTGAGAGGAAAGCAGGTAGAGAAATTCTTTCCTTCTACCTCTCAGCTCAGGATCTGGGCCACCAAGGTGACTACTGGAGGAAGTGGGATGGGAGAACTGTCTTCAAGTCTTAGTTTTCACTGCGCAGCCTGTGTTTCTGCTTCTCAGCTTCTGGGATGCTGGATAGAAAGTGGCAGGACTACAAGCTTTGGAGTCTGACAGGCCTTGTTTGAATACCAGCTCGGTCACAAACTCTCCTGTGGATGTAGATCAAGTTAGCGACTTTCCGTAGTTTCAGTTTCTTCAGGTGTAAATGGAGGTAATGATGAGGATTTTCTAAACCCAAATCTGGACATGCCACCTCCCTGCCTATACATGTCAGTGTTTCCCCACTGACATTAGGATAAAGACAAAGTCTTTACCACATTCTGTGAGATTCTGCATGGTCCGCCCTCCTCTTCAGCCCTCCTTCCTTCTGCTGGAGCCCCCTCTGGCCTTTCTTGAACTTGCCAGGCTCCCTCTGCCCCAGGGAACGCCTTCTCTGGCGGCCAGTTTTCTTTCCTCTCTGGGTTTTGTGAATGCCAAAATCTCAGCTCAAGCCTCTCAGCTGTGATCACCCTGACTGGGTCAATCTTCCCCTTCCCCCCAAAGACTTGAAAGTCTTTCCTTTTGTCATTTGCCATCCTTGCACTTGGACACTTGTTAGTCTTCCTTACGGAGTTTTTCAGCTCATTCCCATTACCTAGAACACTGCTTAGCCAAGAGTAAACACAAAATAATGTCATTTCAGGGGCAAAAGGTGTGTTTCTGGCATACTAAGTTACAACCAGGACTTTACAAATAATGTTACAAGCGTCAGTTTTATAATATAGGTTCAACAGTAGTCCTCTGTCTTCAAGGGGCTAGGGTAACTTGTGACAGTGGGGAATACAGGTTTCAAGTGACCTCGAAACCAAATAATTTAGTGTGTTTCCCTTTCAAGAGACTTATTTGTAGGTAACAGAAAGCTTACATGTAAATATGGGGTTAAGAGGTAAGAATGGGACTGTAGGAGGTACATTCTCTGTCTTTTGTATGAGCATCTTTTTTGTTTGTTTGTTTTCAAGTATCTAATGTTAATTTTCTTTCTAAACTACTCATGAGCTTTTGTGGGAAGGCCTGGGAAAAGAAGCAGCATTTATAACATTGTGTCAATGGGAGACTGTATTCCAAATTTCAATTAAGTGACCTGCAAACAAGCTTTGGGAAGCTAGCACACTCACAATGAGTTGCTCTACTTTTGGCCTCTACTTGTTGGCATCTAGTTTTAAAGAAAAAAGTTTTCAGACTTACATGGATCTTTGATTTTTAAACATGTTCTTAGACGTTTCAGATTCTTTATTAATGGAAAAATCATGATTTCATAGTTTTAAAAAATGGAATTGGAAAATGAATTAGAATGATTCATAAAAATATACTAATTTCAAGTATATGAAAGTATGTTTTTCCATTAGCTGCAGTTATACATTAGTTCAAATATAAAAATAAAGAAGAAAAAAATTTAATGGAGTTATAATAAATCTTCAGTTTCTTAACTGACTAGATTTTATATTTTTTCTTACGGGAAGGAATAATATAAGGTAAATCAACATTGAAAAATGCAAGGGAACAATCAGAAGCGGATTGAAATTAGAAGTGTATTAATTTTTTTGTAAGATTTTTTTTCTATACTAATAGAAAAATATGATTTTTTTAGAGGTTTTCAAAGGCATTTGTTACATTTAATTCTGTATTTCATCATTCTGTAATATGAAATTGCTGGCCTTAGGAAAATATGAAAGTAGATTTGTATATTCAGTTTCTTTCTAAAAAATTATTTTATTTTTTATTTTATTTATTTTTTTCATTCAGCATTTATAACATTGTAATATAATTACAATGTTAATTGTGAAAGTATTTGATGAAATGTAATTGTGAAAGTATTTGACATCATCATGTATGTTAAACACTTGGTAGATATAGAAAATTCTCCTATTTGAGGATAATTTTTAGTTTTACTTCAGTTATTACTGTATCATCAAATTTTTGAGTTCTTTTCATAGTTGTAGAAAAGCAAGAAAAATGAGAGTATTCAGCTTGGAAGAAAAGTTAGGTAGCAAAATGTCAAAAGATGAGGTCAAAGACCTTCCACTGTGTAGTAGAATGTGACATGCACACACTCCCTCTTGCACACTAACTTTAAGGCATTTTCTTTGAACTCATGTATGTTTTGACAATTAGAAAGCTTAAAATATGTAAAAATGAAATTTCTCATTGCATTATTTTCGGGCATGTGGAATATGGCTTAGTGGTGAGGTTTAGCAGATGGGTGTTTGATTTATTCTCTAAACACAAAGAAATTACTCAGTGAATGAAATAGTTAAGAATTTAATAAAGCTTTCTTTTTAAAAAAGTTTCTTTCAATGTCATATTTAAATATGCCTCTATAATATTAGATTTTTAATATGTGTATTGTGCAATATGGCCAATGGTTGTAGGTTATGATGAAAGATAAGCTTTAATGAATTTATGAATTTTAACAGTAGCTGTAACAATTAGTTTCCTTTGACCTTTAATGGCATTGGTACTTTCTTTCATGGCATACAGACAAGACTCTGAATATCTTTCCTTTTTATCTTTTAAGAATATCTAATTAGAAATAAAATGCATTTAAAAAACTCTTAAGGTGATATCAAGGAATATATAAATTAATCTGGCCCATCAAAGAATAATTAGACATATATTGCTTGATTAGATTAACTTTAGAATTTTCATAGGTTTGAGGTTAATCCTGCATTATAAGAACTGTGTGACTTCAGAGAAATAGTCTTCAAAGAGTTTTACAGTTTTTAATTAGTGACTTTACAAGCTACTGGATAATTCAAAGATATGAATGGTCTAACACAATTTTACCATGTAGGACATTGCCCTAAAATGTAGAATATACCAGTGAATGAAATTTGAGGGTTGTCCTGAATTTATGTATAATTAGCATTTGAGTTTAGAATGAAAACTAAGTTTTTAAAACCAAGAAAATGCAAATACTGTACCCACGAAATGCAAGTAGCAAACCTTCCATTGTGACAATCAAAATGTGGTCAGGCATTGCTAAATGTCCCCTGGGAGGCAAAATTGTCCAAGGTAGAGAACCATTGATTTTAATAATATTGGCAGTGTTTCATACCTTATGTTAGGCAAGTGGTATAAAGTTTACAAAGTAGGTCATTTACTATGTAGCTTATCTACTGTAATCTTGAACACAACTTTGTAAGTTTGGCAATGAACATTTTATTATTCCTGTTTTGTAATGGGAGAAACCAAGACTCAGTGAAACTAGGGGACTTGTATGAGGTCACACCTGTGGCAGACCTGGGGTTAAATCCAGGATTTCTAGGGCAGGTCCAGCACCTTTCATTTGCATCTCTCTGTACTATATAGCAAAGTTCTCATCCTAAGCCACTTTTGCATGATCAGTTAAACCAGAAATTACCGTTTGTATCAGCTAAGATTAGAAGATGCAGTTCTGTTGTCTTGAGCCTGACATTTTTGAGCACCTAGTTAGGCCCTTTCCCTGTGAACCTGACCTTATTGACCTCTTCATTATTCCTAAGAGCCAATTTCAGCAATTCATTGCACCAGGGAAGAAACTCTCAAAATTCAAATTCAATAGACTTACACTAAAGGCTTTTTCTTTTTTGAGAGGAGCAGTGTGTTGTTTCATTACACTATCCGTAAGATTTCCTAAAACTCTGCTTTGAATGTCTTTTTCCCCCTCGATGTTTCATTTCTTAAGTCGTTCCCTACGGCTCTGACCTTCTCCTTGCGTCCCTGACAGTAGATTCCTTGTAAGTCTTCCTCCCTTTCTGCCCAGCCGCCTCTGCCGGCCGCCTCACCCCTCCTGGGTCTTTCCTCTGGGCGCCTCCCTCATCTTTTCTCAGGCTCTGCAGTTTATCCTCCAGTTTCTGTGTGTTTGGGGCATATGATCTTAAAGGGGCTTTTTAATCTTCTTTCATTTTAATGGAGACAATACCAGTATCTACCTCATAGGATTGTGGAGAGGCTTCAGTAACCTAATGTATGTAAAGAGCTTGCTTTAGTGCCTAGAGCCCAGTGGCCGCACAATAAAGGCCAGTTACTGCTGTCCTCGGTGAAATATTGTTTTTATTATTATTACCAGGCACTGTGGTAAGGTGGCGGGGTAGAAGAAATAGATATTGCCCTTGAGGAGTTTATAATTTAGTTTGGTGAATACAGAGTAGAGGAAACTGCGGCTCTACAAGATCCTTGTGTACTGTTATGCTATAAGCGTTTTATTTATCAGGCCATCAATATTCTTTTATTGGGTATCATAGAAGCGACATCTTACGTAGGAAAATGTTATGTTAGGTGTTATTGTATAAATTCCTGCCAGGAAAATGCTGTTTCCTGTGTTAGTGTCTTCCAGATTGCAAGGAATAGAGAAACGCTGAAGTTGTTTTGGGTGATGTGGGTCTCTTGTAAAGATGCATGAGTGGTCAGATCCCCGGACACATCCCATGATTTGCCCAATCACTTTCCTCAGATAATGGGAGCATTGTTCTGGATAAAACAGCTACTCTGGTATCAGAACAGCCTGCTGTGCTCATGATTCAGTGTTTTCTTATCTCTGCTGTCTTTTTACTGACTCTGCTTCTTTTGCCAGCCCCTTTCTCCCCTTCTTTTCTCTTTAATTCTGCTGTCTCAGTGCTTCTACGCGCTCTCTTTTCTCAGGGTATGTTCAGTTTGCCATTTCATATTTGAACTATTTTCCAGTGCACTCATATTTAGAAGTTGACTAGAATTGGATCTAACTGGAAATGAGGAGGGAAGAGGTATCATTCCTCTTCCTGTTTTCAAGTAGGTAGTGAGAGGAGAAGACTTATAAGGGACCTGGGATTTCGCCCGGATGCAAATTGTAATGGCTTTTCTAACATACACATTTGGACTTCTTTCTCACTCTCCCTCCTCACATGCCTGGATAAATGACAGTAGTCATTCCTGTTGAAATTCTTGCTGTTTTAAAAAATTCACTAGGGGACAAATAAATGTGACTTCCAATAGAGATGGACTGTTGTCTCTGATGGTTTGATCTTTCTGTGCAAGAATAAAACTTTTTTTAGGAAAGATTATAGTAAGTCATACTATATATTCAAGGACATGTTTCTGAAGAGATGCATGGCCATTGAAAGTTTTTCTGCTCAACTAGTGACCCAATCTGTAAAATAAGGATATTAGGCTCGATGTTCTTAAGGTGGTCAAACAGTGTATGATTTTTAAAAACTTACATCCTGTTATGCTTTCCAAGTCATCTATTAGGATATTTGAGAACAAGTAGACAATTAAGTATTGTTTGGTTGAAGAATCTTAACATTTCTAATTTTGGTTGTTGCTTTTCTTCTTGATTTACATTTCGTCATAAGGAAATTTTGCTTACCTATCTCTGTTTTCTGCGTATGTATGTGGATTAGATAACAAGAGGAATTAAGATTCTGCAAAGTGCAGTAATAAAACAAGATGAGCGCCTGGCCAAGGCAATGTGCAGTGATGGTTCCTTTCATATTACCCTTCTGGTGATGAAGTTAAACGAACATGAAGTAAACAAGTGAGTAATATGTCTTTTTTGAAGATTGTTTTTCAGATTATTACTTCAGTATAAATAAACATAGCAGAAACCAAAAAGCAATTAAATTCTAAAGAAGTTTTCTTTATTATAATTTATTCCAGTTAGTAGTCAGTGCACAGAATTAGATGTGTAAATATCCTTTCTAATCTAGATTTTTAAGCTCTGTTTTTGTTGTCAAATGGCAGCCCTTGATGATGCAATTGTTTTGCCTGTGTTAATTATGTAAACCCTCTGGAACTGACCATTTAGGTTGGGATTCTAGGTAAAGACTCTGGAACATACCTCCTTCTCTTAATAGATGCCTGATTTTAGAAAAATTATTTAATTTTTAAGTAAATGGAGAAAATAATAGTATCAATACATGTAAGAGTTCTTAGTATAAGGCCTGGCACATAGTAGGCACCCGATATTGTTATCTATTANTATCAATACATGTAAGAGTTCTTAGTATAAGGCCTGGCACATAGTAGGCACCCGATATTGTTATCTGAGCTGTCATTGCGCTCGGTCAGTGTATAATTTCAGTTTTAGCTCACTCATTCTTAGAGCACCTCCGGTTCCAGCGTTGTGCATGGAGGCCGAGTATAAGTCATTGACTGTTGCTTTCCACCCTGGAGTGGAGAAGCCTTGTCTTCCCCCTGGATTCTCTGGGATACTCTGTCTATATGTATGCTCGCCCCTTTCCCGCTACCTCCTGTAATGCTCTCTGGAATAAGCTCAGGCTTAAGTTCTGTGGAAAACCAAAGCCAGAATGGATGAAAGGTTACTTCTTTTTTCTATCCCGACAGAGTCTCCTAAGAGAATGAAGAACAAAGCTTGAATTAGGAAGGGAGTGGGAGAAAGGGAAAGTAAAAGGGAGAAAACAATAAATTAGTAACTGAAAATATACAGCTACATTATGATTCTTGTAGTAATATCTTAAACAGCAGAACCTCGTGTCTTTAACGATCCGTCTTACGACCTACCCCAACCTGATCTACCCAAGAGCAAGTCTTGAGCATGCTGCGATGGCAGAGAGGACTAGAAGATTTTACTTGACCAACTTTACCTGTTCACTTTGCCAGACTGAAGAACAAAACAAAACTCTGATGCTCTTAAAAGAAAAGAAGTCAAAGAAGATGTGACACAACAAGATGAAAGCCCTAGAGAAAGAATACTGCCCTGTGTGTGTTAGAATGGTGTATAAATCAGTGTTCTCCAAAGAAACAGAACCAATGGGATGCACATTTATACGGATATCTAGATATATTGATATCTATCTATATATGTATATCTATCTATATCTATATTCCTATATCTAGATTTATTTTAAGGAATTAGCTCACATAATTAGCTCACTGGCAAGTCCAATATCTACAGGGCAGTTTGGCAGGCTAGAGACCCAGGGAAGAGTTGATGTTGTAGCCTCAAGTTCAGTGACAGTCTGGAGGCAGAATTCCTTCTTCCTTGGACAATGACTGTCCTGTTTTAACTTCAAATATAATCTTTCGGCTGAACTCCAGTTTCAGAATTCTGTTTCCTATATGTGTATACTTTTTACTAATTTTACCATACATAAGTCTTTTCATAAACTGCTCTTGTAAAGATGTTCTATTTAAAAGAATTTGAAAGTTAGTGATACTTACCATAGACACTATGACTACTTTTTACCCTGTGATTGATGATATCTCATTAGGACACATTTATTGATTTATGCGACTAGAGAACTGAAAAATTGGACTGAGTTTAGATCATCTATATTTCTTTAAAGAAAAATGAGATATAGAATTCAGTCTCTGAAAAGCCCTAACTTTTAGCATGGCTTGCTTTAGTATATAGTTACATTTAAAATGAGTATCTTGAATTCCCTCGATTTATGATGGATGAGCCAGAAGTGGCTGTTCTGCTTTTGCATGCTTTAACTCATAGCACACAGTGAAGGACAGTATTACAGTAGAAGTGTTTGCACTGTGTCTTTTTGGATGAACATAAATAGTTTGGAAAGATTGGATTTAGGATGCGGATTTGGAGGTACTATAATGAGAAATGTTGACATTTCCAGAGCTATTTTTAGTATTGTACATTATGTTATGACAGAAATGGGTCTCAGTATGGAAGCTATAGATGACAAACAGTTAAAAACTTTATATGAAAACTAATTTAGAGATATGAAAGATCTAGAAAAATACCTAAATTTCTTTGCATGCATTTAACATATAATTATTGGCGAACAAATCACTGATCAAAATAATTTAAATTAATGGTGGTTCACCAGAGGGTGTTTTAAAGCCCTCTCCATAGTGTAAGAATGTACCTACTTCTTTTTTGAGTGATTGCTGCCCTCTAGTGAGATTTTAATTTTTTTCTCATGATAAAGTACCTACACCAAAATCCTCTTCAAGATGGAAATAATTGATCTTAATTTATAAAATACTCTAAACCTAATAATGTCTAATTCATTAATATAGTAAATATTTTTTTTATAAGGAAAAATCAAGGACTTGAAATAGAATAGCCCTGTAATGACATAGGTGAAACAGATAATAACAAACTTATGTAGTTGCATTTAGCGAATATGAACTTATATTTTTGTTAAATCCAAGTACAGTAAATGATTTTATTATGGAGACATATTTTAAAAGATCATGTATATTAAGTTTGAGTAGAGTGCCTTGCAAATAGTAAATACTGTATACATATTAGTACTTTTAAGCTCTCATAGGTATTAGGTTTCTTACAATATATTATCAGTAATTTTTTCCCCAAATGTGCATGCACTATTTCCTTGGTTAAAAATTTCTTGGTGAACTATAAAATAATATTTTCTTTTATGTCTTTAATGTAATAAAAATTATAATTAGGTAAAGATTTAATTCACTTCTTTCATAGTTTTTGTTTAAAAATTAATCTTAGTTTTATTTTAATCATATAGATTAGATTTTGAAGGTATTTTGTGCTTTAAAATAACTAGTACAAACATAAAAATTAATTTATCTTTCTAAAACTGATTACTTTGTTTCTTGTTTGGTTTGGTATATTTTATCACTTAGTATGTTATGAAAAATATATTATCTCTTGCCAGGGGTATTGATGCTCTTTTGGAATTAAAACCGTCCATAGAAGAAATCCTTCAAGGAAAACGCCTGATTTTGTCCTTTGAAGGCATTGACACTTTTAACAATCAGGTTGGATTTGTGAAGCTGGCAGAAGGAGACCACATGAACCCACTTTTGGAAATTGCAGGTATAACAAACAGCAACACACTAATATGAAATGTCAACTGTTGAATATGTAGTTCCCCTTTGCCGCCCAATTCTGGTGATAGAGATTTGATATCTTTTAATGTTGGGAAGCCAGTATAACCTTACTTGATATGTGAGCTGCTTCAGCATTTTCATGTGTGGGTAAGAAGTTAAGTAAAATGCCTGAAAAGTCATCTTGATTCTTTCACCTGAGGAATATGTCGATTCTGAGGCTGTCTGGAAGGTGATGGCTGGATTTGGGTATTTGTTAAGAGTGTCCTAATCCTAAATCTGAAGGATCTCAGGGTTAGCGTGACACGTGGCATTGAATGAATGAATAAGAATCACTAGTTGCCCATTCAGAGGCTTTTGGCGATTGCCAGCCCTAATCCAGAGTCAGTAGATAACTCAGCAGCATTTTCCCCTGTGCTACTGTTCCTCCCTCCTGTGTAGACACTACTTTCTGAGCAGAAGGTCCATTGGTGATGGTGCAAGATCTCACATCCATTAGAGAACATGTTACTTTGTGCAGCACAATTGAAAATTGTTAGGGAAGTAGAAGCAGGAAATTATACAACCTGGATGAGTGACTTTTGAGTTGATCCAGAGAGCATAGGTTATATGTTAGTCTACAAACTATAAACCAATTTTATTTTCATTTCCTTATATATATCAAGTCATTTCATGTCATCTCATTTCAGGTTCATTAATCCTTGTTTCATAACACACTCTCATCATTGGTCTACTTTCATCTGTCTACNATTTTCATTTCCTTATATATATCAAGTCATTTCATGTCATCTCATTTCAGTTTCATTAATCCTTGTTTCATAACACATTCTCATCATTGGTCTATTTTCATCTGTNATTAATCCTTGTTTCATAACACACTCTCATCATTGGTCTACTTTCATCTGTCTACCTACCTACCTACCTACCTACCTTAAATTAATATCATAATCACCTGGGAGTCCCCAACCCAAAATGAAAGCTGTGTAGTAATCTACAGTATTGTCCTTGCTAGTAATCTAACCTCATTGTTGTTTTCATGAATTCATCTCTTTGCCTTCTCTCATTTAAGCACACTGTTGCGCTGAGGTCAATGTTTATTTCCTTGTATTTTCCCAAAGTATACGTAGTTTTAATTGATTTTAATCTTATAAAAGGGTGTCATGTTGTATGTGATCTTTTGAGACATGCTTTTTAAAATTTAATATTATATTGTCTTTGTGCAGTTTTATAGTTGCCCATTCAAAAGTGCACCTCTTTTTGAGGTGGGGTGAGCATGAAGATCAGGTTTCATTTCATTGTTGGTTAAGTTCTTTTGTAGATACACACACACACACACACACACACACACACAAAGATGCAAACAATTAAATAATATTTATTAGTCAAGTAAGACTTAACAGAATTAGTTAGCCAAGGAGAAGGCAACTCTTAATAGTTTCCCCCCCTCTTTTTATTGAATTTATCNCCCCCCTTTTTATTGAATTTATTGGGGTGACACTGGTTAACAAAATTAGACAGGTTTCAGGTGCACAGTTCTACAACACATCATCTGTACACTGTATTGTGTGTTCACCCCAACTCTAACAGTTTTGATGGCAGAGCATTTGGGCACCCATTCCCACAGTTAAACTCAATCTCTTCTTCCTGACTATTCTGGAAAAAATGCTAGATTTAGGTCTTTTCTTTTGTAATTTAAATATCTCTGAACTCAAGAAACATTTTAAATTAGTCATTCATTTATTGTTCTTTTAAATAATTAAATGAGTGCTTACAACATTGAGAATTCCATTCTTATAAAATATTCTCACAAAGGCAGTTTCCATTATTGATAAAAGACCCATCCTGTGCCGAGGAATGTGAAATCTCTCCAGCTTTAGGAGAGTGTTGGTTTATCATTTTAGGGAAGGTCACTGCCCCTGTAATTCCTTTCTTGATACCAGAGACTTCTGCTTAAAAATATATATACCTTTTCATAAATTTAAATGAAGCATTACCAAAAAATGGAAAACAGAGGGAGCACAGCACTCTGTCCCTTCATGTAATCACTGTTTGTTATACTTGTTTAATCTTTTATTGTACTGTTGCTTTTGATTATTGCTTTTATGGACTTTTATAAGAAATATTACTATTTGAATATGTATATACAAAGTTTCCATTGAAGTCTGGTTGGAGCCTCCATTTGTATAATATTCAGTCAGAATGTTCAATACACAGAGTTTTTGTCAATATTTTACCTCATTAGATGTATTTTTAAAAGAATACTTCAGGTTTTTGTATTGCTTTAGTTTAGCAGTATCAGTAAAATAATGTAATTTTGTTTTTGTGTCATATTTTATAAACGATTCAAATGATATAGTCCAACTTTTAGAAGAATATATCCATTGACTATGGTACAAAACTTTGTAATAAACTATGTATATGTATATGCCTGTATAAGAATATTAAAATCTTGTTTGTTCAAAATCATGGAGGCAGAGCTAGTTTGACTTAATGGAAAAGCAAGATAGTTTCTAAAGAAAATAAATTTAATTATTAAAGTATTGATAAAGAACTTAAGTTTAAGTACATATTATGAAGTGTAGCTAACTTGAATAGTTGAAAATTATAATTCATGAATAGTCTCATTTGCCTAATTTTCATAGAGTTTTAAAATTTACAAGTTAGAAGAAGCAGATTCTTAAAATAGGACATAGTTGTTTTTGAAAAAAAAGACTGCATTTTAGACACTAATATTTGAAGCCATTACTGAAAATTTGCAGGCTAATGAGTAATTTAGAAATTTTAATGTGTAAAATTGAAGAAAATTATTATACATTTTGAACTAATAGAGTCTGAATTGATGAACTTCTACATCAGTACTTGAATTATGCATCCAGATATGCTGCTAATCCCTGTCGATTGATGACACTTTGATCTTGTTTTTCCAGGGAAGGGGGGGGGCTGGGTGGAGGTGGGTAAAGGAGGCGGGGAATGGGGATCTCTGTAATAGTGTCAACAATAAAAATAAAGTTAAAACAAAACAAAACAATACCTTCTTTCCTAGCATTACACAGTAGCTCATAGAGCTAAGAGGATTTTGAAAATTTTGCATTTATATGGCATTTCTCCACATTTTACAATGATGAAGTTGCTCTGAAAATCAGCTTTTTGCATAGAAATGAATATGTGATTTCATTTATTTTTTTCAGTGAACCATAATTTTGTTAACAAGTATATTACATTGAGAGAGTGCTGAAAATTTAGCTTACTGGAATTCTAATAGTCCTTGCAATTTTTTTTTTTTTAAATGAGAAAAGTGTGCTTGGTTAGAATGATAAAAGATTCCAAGTGCACTTTACCTGGTAAAAGGAAAATGGAAAGGTTTTAGGATATTCATTTGAACATTACACTTCCTCTTATTTTGACTGTCATTTTCCTCCAAAAGATGGAGAGAATATGCCCTGTATTTTCTGCTCTTTGTGAAGAATCTGTTCTGTTGCTGGTATCTTTGGGCCTTTCTAGGCTGCTCTTACAATTTTATTTTTTTTTATATTAAGTTAAATTTAAAAATATTTGAATGCAGTTTATTAGCTTAATAGTTATCGATCTTATGGCAAATGGTGCATTTGAAAACATTCAGAACTTATTATGTATTTAAACATAACGTATTTCTTCTTTTCCAACTTTCATTTTTAACTTTTTAATTTTTTAAAACTCTTTAATTTTTCACTTTTCCAGAAGTTTAAAAATTTAGTCTGATTTATCTGTTTTTACTTTTGATGCCTGTGATTTTGGTGTCGTATACAAGAAATCATTGTTAAATCCAGTATAATGAAATTGTTTTCTTCTTTGAGTTTTATAGTTTTAGCTCTTATGTTTAATTTAGTCCTTTGATCCATTTTTAGTTAACTTTTGTATATGGTATAAAGTAAGGGTCTAACTTCATTATTTTGCATGTGAATATCCAGTTTTCCCAACACTATTTGTTGAAAAGACTAACTTTCTCCATTGAATGGTCTTGGCACTTCTTTATTTCATTGGCTTAAATGTTCACCTTCATGGCAGTCCCATACCTTTTGATTACTTAGCTTTCTAGCAAATTTTGAAACCAGGAAATGTTAGACCTTCAACTTTAGTTTAGACTTTCAAGTTTAGTTCTAAGTATTTTATTATTTTTGGTAATATTTTAAATGGAATTGTTTTCTTAATTTTTTTTTGGATTGTATTATTGATCTTTTATAAGACTCATGTGAAGTATTACTTCTAAAATAAAGCCTTTTTTGGTTCTTCAAAATAGAAATGACCATTTTCTCTTCCAGACCCCCCCAACAATAGATGGATATCTACTGTAGAAACTATTAATACCACATGACATTTGGTTATTTGGAAATCTATCTTTCTTAACTAGAGTAAAAGCTCTTTAAGAGAATATTTCATTTTTGTGTCCCTAGAGCATGCTACATAATAGAGGTTCAATAAATATTTATTTTTAACAGATATATAAACCAACGAAAAAAATTTAGATATAAACATAAAAGTCTAATTGAAAGAACATTTAACCTTAGATAGTCTCTCTTCCCTCGTTGACATTCATGTCTAAATCTTTGCATGAGAATAAAATCCAGTCCTGTTATCTAGACTCCCCTAGAAACGTTGTACTTGGTGCTTTCTGACAGTTCACTTGGATTAGCTGGTTGTTAGGATAAGAAGGGACCTGAGAGAAGGGACTGCAACACTTCTACTCTAAATATTAAATGACGTGTCCAAGAATGCACATTAAAAAATAGGAGAACTGGGCCAGTGTTATTAAAATGCTCAATCTGGGTCTCTTTTTTTTTGGTCAATGGCAGTGGAATGAATGTGATTCCTCTGGCATCAAGGTGTAATGTTTTAAAGTTCTATTTGACAGTTCTGTACAGCAATTGGTTGGAAATATCTATTTAAAATGATGAGTATAAAAATTTTAAATTGAAATTGGTTTCAACATTATGCCAGCCTTTAAGTTGAAGCATATAGTTCAAATGACTTACTAAAATCATTTAAAATGGAACAGTTTAAGCAGCATATGGAAATAAGAATCATTCAGGTAGTAATAAAATAGGAATGACAAGAACAGTTGTATGGTTTTTATTTCTTAAAAGTTTTAAATGGCCAAAAGGTGACTCTAAAATTTTATTGAGATTTTTAACATTATATGTGGCATAATTTTACTATATTTTTCTATGGTATTAGAAAGCATCTCCCAATTGGAAAACATGGAAAGAACTCACCGTCTTCTATTGTGTGATTTAATCACAAATCAGTCTTTTTAAAACTATAATCTAACTTATTACTTCTGTTGCATCCACATACTGAAATACAATATATATAGTTAAGAATATATTAGGCCTACCTAATTTTTATTAGTACTTTAGACTGTCCTTATTAATAAATCTCTGTGTACCACAATAAAAAACATAAACCTCTTTGTCATTATTCTCAAATTATGCATCATGCTATCTATAAACACCCCCACAGTTTTAAAAAGGGGGAGCAAATGGCAAAAGGGGAAAAAAGGAGAAAAATATTTGTTTTGCAAGAAAGTGTATATAATTAAAAGTCCATGATTTTGTTTTGATATGTTACGGTTTATTTTGAGACAACTTTTAGCAATTTTTAAATATTTTAGGTATACATTATTGTTGCTAAATATTTAAGAGTTTACCTGAAGAAATTTCCTATATAAAGATCAAAATATATATAACTTAAAAAACAGGTAAAACTTCCAGTACCTAGCATGCTCAATAAATGTTTCTTTAATAGATGAAAAAAAAAATACAAACCCACAAAATAACCCCAGATAAAACTGTATTTGTTAGGATAACAAAAGCATCGTTTCTTTATTAAATTATTCATTTCAGTGTTCATTTACATAGCCAAGTCTATTACTGTTAAAATATATTTTAAGAAACTGTTCTTCAGACAATTTTTATCTTTAGCTATCAGGTAAATTATATTATTTAGGAAGCATTCTTAGCTGACTTATGAAGGATATCTGATGTATTTGCTGTGTGATTTTCTATTTAGTGCTTGAAGGAATGCCTGTGGTACTGGAAAGAATTGAACAATCTCTTAAATTATTCATAAGCTTCTCTTCCAGAATATAAATTAACATAGATGAAGAATGACATGTGGTTTTCACACTAGCAAAAACTCTTCTTATCTCAAGAAGGTTATTTTTATGACTGTTACCCAGTACTCTGGCTAAGCAATAGATTATACTGTTATTAGGAATATAAAATCAGTACTAAGAAATACTTTAAAAAAGTAGGTGGCATTTTCTTTTTCCCTATTCCTTTGTTCCTAGAGCATATACTGTACTGGAAAAACACATTAATAAAAATTAAATGTACTCTGTGACAAATATTATTTAAAACAGTACTGTGAATAGATACCTATCATGCGCGATTTCAGTAAATAGTGGAAACTCTTGGATCAACATTTGACCAGGTAGTTGAAAAATGTTGTTTCTTTAGAATCAAATAATATGTAAAAACTAACGTAGATAGTAGCAGACAAAACAGATGTCTGCTGTGTAGTTTCTGTTAACAAAGCTCCTTCCATTATATCTCCTGCACGTTCTGATAATTCTGGACGTTGTTAAGCCCTCTTCTTCCCTGGGCTGGAATCTGACCCATGAGACCACAAGCTCCATGAAAGCAGGGACGTGTTTGCTGACTTTAGCAGATGTGCCTGGCATGTATGGGAAGTGCTCAGAACATAACTGAACAAATGAATTTTTGCTTTTAACCTTCATGCTATTGCTGTTTTCTGGGTTGATTTGAAAATATTGGTAAATTTCTGTCAGAAGCTGGCCTATGTGATAATTCCTCAAATACTTGAAGACTTAGAAAATATGCCCCGATTCCTTCACTCAGATATTAGGAACTTAATAAGTTAGGTTACCGTGGTATATGTTAAATTATAGGACATTGCCAATGTTTGACTGCTTTTTACTCATAAAAGTGACAGTTTCGTATGAATCAGCCTAATATTTTAATCCCAGGTCTATTTAAAACAGTTGAGAGTATGCCAAAACAGAGAGGGTGAAAGCTGGGTTGTGGCAGGGAAACTGAGAAATGATGTATGTAACTTCTATGAGCTAAAAGTTGATAAGTTAATTATAATGTTACTTGTTATGAATACACTCTTACTGTTTTAAAACACAGGAATGCTGGACTATTGTCTCTTTTTTGGCTGCCCATTATCTAAACTCTTCCCCGTCATCTCCCTGTCAGGTACATTCTTTCACAGGTTCCTTTGGTTCTAGGAGCGTGATCTTGCTTTTGCCCAGACTTTGAATTAGAAGCAAGTAACTTGAAGAAAAAATAAGTTTGCAGAATCCATTCTCTCAGGCTGATGGCAGCATTTCCAGCCCTTTGCTGTGCATGGTTTCAGTGGTGCCAGCTGGACACCTCGTGGTGTCAGTGGACCTGTTCTCCTTCATAACTGTGGGCATCTTGACTTCATAGCCTTCCAGCCTGGTAGTCCTCTCACGTTCTTCTATGGATTCACTTCCTGCTTAACTCAGGCAAAGTTGTCACCCATTGTCTGCAACTCAGAACCAGTGTTTTCTTGGCATTTTAATGGTCCATTGCTTAGCCTTCTTTATTGCCATAGGAGAAAGAAAAATCGTTTGGTGGCAGCGACTTGCAGTGAAGGGTTTTTTAGAACATGCCCCACATAGTTTGTTTAGACGTATGTGCAGGTCTGTGCTCAGCTGAACACTCAAGAGGGATGGACCCTTTGCAGATCTCTGGAGTTTTTGATCTGTGCAGGTCTCACTTCTCCAATACTCTGCCTTGTGAGCTCTACCTTGGTCTCTCCTACTCGCAGCTCTTTTCCTGAACCCAGTGAGGTGACTGGGCTCCATCTGGGTTACTCCTCCTTGCACAGGGGCCTACACACTCAAGGATGTAAGCCGGTCAGTTGAAGGGCTCATCTTGTTTGCATCTCATCTCTCGGAGATCACTGGCCTTCGTTGCTTGATGTGTACAGTGTCTTGCAAACCATTATTTCATACACTTTGTCCTTTTATTGGTTGTTTCAGATAGGAGGGCAAATCTGATTTCTGTTATTCCATCTTGGTCAGAAGCAGAAGTTTTAGATATGAAGAGCACAGATCAGCTAGTCCTTTTGTATACATATGGACACCACCGGTATAATGGGTGAAAGTCAGCATCTTTATCAGCCAAACAGTTATGTTATTAAATGTTTCTCTTTCAAATTGTTGCTTTTGTGCGCTCTACTCAAAGTTTGAAAGCATTGTCATAAATATATTTATCATGCACACTGTTTTTCTTTCTCTCTTTTAAAAAACTATCTCAAACAGATACTAAAGTCATCTTCATTATAAGATATTTTGTTATTTTTTTGAATTGCTGTTTTTTTAAGGAAAGTCATATGTCGCAGTAACATTTTCGTGTTTCTTTTTATTTACTTCAGAGGCTGCAAAAATGACATTTCAAGAAAAAGGCATCTTGGCAGGAGACAGCAGAAGTTTTAAGCCTCATTTGACCTTCATGAAATTGTCCCAAGCACCATGGCTCCGGAAGAAGGTGAGTGGACATTTTTATTGCAAGCCTTGTTTTATTGGCCATACCAGCCTTAAGCATGATCGGGGGCACGAGTGACACTTGTAGTGGTTTTTGACACCGTACGTCCTACTGCTCCGGGGTCTAATTCCCGGGGATGCTGGGTTGGCTCATGAGCCTCCGTGGAGCCTGTTCCACCTGTTCCCTCCTTTGCCACTGCGGCTATTAGCTGCGTACTCTGACCAACACTCACTGCTGCTTCTGTTCCCACGCCTGCTTCATCCCACAAAGAGCCTTGAGGTAGTGCTAGGGTTTTGTTTCCTGCTTTCTTTGCTGATGGTTGTTTGCAGCCTGCTGCTATGAAAGCTTCCTCCACTGACCTGCATACACTGGCGCTGCTAACTGGGTTCTTCAAGGTGGGACAGTTTTTAACCTCTTTACGGAGCTCTTTCAAGGTTTCCAGAAGTCCACCTTGCTCTTACAGTAGTTGTCTCCATTGAGGGCGTGGAGCAGGTGTTCCTGGGACTGGGCAAGAGGGTAACTGTGGGAAACCCCATACTTGAAAGTACTTCTCCCTGAGGATGGTCAACAGTGACACAAGCCAAGGGACATGTGTCTTGACTTTCCTGATCTCAGGGTAACTTTCCACCTTCCCAGGCCACCCCCTCTCTTTCAGAGGTTGGGCTAACTTTTGACTCTCTTCTGGATTCATGAGCATTTCTCCTGGATTGTTAAGGGCACCCTTCACTGTTTTTCCCATTTCAGCCTAGAGAGTTTCTCAGGCACATTAAGACACCTGCTGACCTGCTCTGCTATAGCAGCGTTGTGGAGGTGGCCCTGCAGGTTAGTATTCGCACCTGCTCTCCATGACCCTGGGCTGCAGTTAAGACTGATTTGCAGCTCTATAAATGAAGGTCATGTTTATTACTAAGTAGATCTTTTTTCTAAATTTGGCACATTTTGCATTTATTGTCTTTGTGCTCAAAGTCTTTTTTGTCCTTTAAAACACATATTTAATTGATTTACCATCCCGTGGTTATCAGTTTTCTACAAACTGTTGTAAAATTCTTCTCAAGAAGAGATCCTGCATGATTTCTTGTTTTTGTTTCTGTTTTTGATTTTGCTAACTATGCCCCACATTCAGTAATAACTATATTAGGTGCCGTTCTAGAGTATTTTGGTAAAAATAATTGGTGTAAATAATAGATTTTGAAATTTGGAATGCTAACAGCTGACACAGCTTGTAGACCGACAGTTTACTTTTATTCCCTATCTTTCTTATTTTGCCTTCAAATGGACTGTCCTCTTCCCAGTGCTTTCAAACTTAATCACTGAATGGCAGACAGTGGCAAAGGTAATGACCCACTTCAAAGTGTTTTTTTGTCTTATCGATATTAACTTTGAAATGATAGCACACAAAGATATTTATCAAAGGAATATTTAGACTAGAATCTCAATTTCAGTGTTTCAGACTGAATTGAAATGATTCCTTGGCAGTTAATTTCACAGAATCTGCTCCCTTACTTTACAGAAAGGGATGTTGCAGAGCCCTGTGTGGAATCCGTCTTACCTCATTCTCAGTCTCATTTTCTTCCCTCCCACTGGCCACGCCCAGTTTATCCAAATTAATTTCCCTATGTGAGGAGCAATGTGGTCCAAATCACATTAAGTTAACAGATCTTTACTGAGTGCCTACTATGCACCAGGCACTGGGTGCCAGCCTAGAGTTACGATAAAAATAGCAGCAGTCCCTGCTTGTGTGGTATATAAACTGTAAATCAGATGGGATTTTGTGTAGGTTAGAATGCTTAATCTTTAGAAAATAAATACTGGCCTTACTGTTTTTCAGAAAGCCAAATAAGAATTTTTTCTTTAAATCTGTGGAATGATTCTGTTTCCATTTATTGCTATGATGTTCAGTGTTTCTGAATGCTTATGAGAGTGTATCGTCAACTTTGGGATTCACAAGTCACTTGGGGTGCTTGGTGAAGCTACAGATCTGGAGTTAGATAGACCTAAAGATCTGGACTTTTGACGTTTAGTAAGTGCCATGGGTGATTCTGACCCAGGTGATCTGTGCGTAGTACAGTAAGTCCCCACTTAATGTCAGCAATAGGTTCTTGGGACTTCAGCGAAACTAGGTGTAATGAAACCAATTTTACCCTAAATGCTGTAAGCAAGAGTTAAGTTTCTGTGGCATCTCATCAACATTATAACGAAATGATGTTATTTGAGGACCTGCTGGATACTCCGAGACCTGCAGGCTTAAATAAATATCCAGCATTTTCTTTATGCACATCATTGGCTCCACTGTAAAAGTTAAAGGCAGTGTGAAAAGTGGCGTACATTAGAGTGGACTTCTATTATGCTTTGTCGTTTGGAATGCAGATTATCTGAAAAAGGGACTGTTTGGTCTTCCTTCTTAACTTTTTTACATTTCCCACTGGCTGTTCCCTCAGCACCAAGTCTCTCCTGGGTTTTCATTCTGGTGCACTCATTTACAAGTGAGTGGCCATTGATGAAGTCAGTAATGGAATGTATTGCTAGCATTCAGTGTTGTTTAGATTTATAATGAAATAAGAGAGAGAGGAACTGTGGGAAATAATAGGTTTATTTTCACTCAAATATTAGGAAGTTTGTCTCATTTCAAGTACTCTTTTTACATTACAAGTTATTTTAGTTATAAAATATTAGGTGAATATATGCTCACTCTAAACAGTCCAAATACATACAAACCTACGGAGTGAAAGATAAAATTTTTTTCATCACCGCCCTGCCATCCCCTTTCTCCCAATATAATCTCTCTCTCCGTAGGTTACCGCTACTAGTCTGTCCTCCTGACCTTTTCCTGTACACTGCAGATATACACAGGTGCATATGCCGTTTCTTTAAAACAGAAATAAATATGCCGTTGACCTCTGAACAACATGGGTTTGAACTGTGTGGGTTCATTTACGCACAGATATTTTTTCCAATAAATACTGTAAATGTATTTTTCTTTTCCTTATGATTTTCTTAATAACATTTTTTCTCTAGTTTACTTTATTGTAAAAATACTGTATATAATATAATATACAAAATGGGTGTTAATTAACTGTTTATGTTATCAATAAGGCTTCTAGTCAAGAGTAGGCTATTAGTAGTAGTTAACTTTTGGGGATTCCAAAGTTATATGCAGATTTTGACTGTGTGAGTGGGGTTGTTCTAACTTCTGCGTTGTTCAAGGATCAACTGTTCATTATTTTGATATATCATATTTTATTTTCCCTTTGATGAATTATTATGTTCATTTCTGTTTCTTTGCTACCACAAAAAATACTGAAGTGAACATCCTTGTCAGATTTTCTTTGGGTAGATATGCCAATATTTCAAAGAAGCAATTCCTTGAAGAGGCATTCCAAGGTCAAAGGGTAGTATACATTTTAACTTTTCAAAATACAACAAATTTCCTTTTATTATTATTATTTTTAATATATCTTTATTGATTTCAGAGAGAGGAAGGGAGAGGGAGAAAGAAACATCAATGATGAGAGTCATCACTGATCAGCTGCCTTTGGCACGCCCCCTGCTGGGCATCGAGCCCACAACCTGGGCATGTGCCCTGACCTGGAATCGAACCGAGATCTCCTGGATCATAGGTCGATGCTCAACCACTGAGCTACGCCTGACTGGCCCGACAAATTTCCTTTTAAAACAATGGTGCCAGGTTATACTTTCAACCACAGTGTATGGGAGGAACATTTGTGAGGATAAACTTGAGGTAGAAAGACCATCAAAGATTGTGATGGTGGCTTATAAATTGATATGGCCCTTTAAGCTGTAATCAAACAATTTCCATCAGAAAACACTAAAATACTTATATTTTTTAACTAAGAAGTCCATGCTACTAAGATTATCCTAATGAAATACATTTTTAAATGAGATATGATTGATATATAACATTGTATAAGCTTAAGGTATACAATGTAATAGTTCAATATATGTATATATTGTAAAATGATTACCTCAATAAAGGTAGTTTAACATGTCTTACTTCTCATAATTACCATTTTTTTAATGGTGAGAAATTTTGAGAACAACTCTCAGCAAATTTCAAATATATAGTACAGTATTATTAACTATAGTAATTATGCTGTATATTACATCTCCAGGACTTATTTTATCACTGAGAAATAATTTAAAATAAGAAATTCTTTAAGTATAAATATGTTTACTGAAACATTATCTGCAATTGGGAAAAATTTGATAACTTCCATAACAATAGGAGAATGTTTAAGTCAATTATGGTAAATCATATCAATGATTGAGAAACTATTATAATACTTTTAAGAACTGTATAATAGCATAAAAAGGTACATAAAATGTAGAATGATACTATATTTAAAGTTGTATAAAAATAGTTTTCTTGGCTTTGCTTTGAACACACCTAATGTGCTTCCATGTATTTCAGAGGTACAAAGTGGGTTCCCACAATTACTTTTTTAGCTCATGAATTTTCTGGTAGATCAGTGACTAGAGATGACCTTAATGTCACTGGAATACATATAGTAAGTCCCCTTCACATACTCAGTATTTCTGTCTTGCTTGGGTGGGGGTTTGCTAGGGCTCTGAGGAGGAGTGGAGCCGTGGTGGGCTGAGCATGGAAGGAAGTGATGGTGGGCAAGTTAGATGTCTCGTGACAATTCAGGGTGAGGGGAGCTTAGATACAGGAAATCTGAAGGTTTCCCAGTATCTTTGAGGAGTGGTCCTTCAGTTTGTGGGATGGATGGGTGGTGCATAGTGAGAGTGTCAGAAAAGAGCTAATGATGTCTGCCACTAAGATACTCTGTTTCGAAGGTTGGTGCCAGTTGGTATACTCCTTATATTTCTATTTGACCTGCTAGAAGGTTGTGTGGAAATCATTTCGTATACCAAGTAGATACTAGTGCACTCCTAAGATACTGGTGGCACTACTGTCAGGGTAGACATGGTAGAAAGGGCTGTTCTGGGTACAGCAGTGCTCTAGGTCATTACAGGCAGATTTT